TCCTCTGTGTGTGTGTCTGCTGCTGGCCTCTGGCTTTGCCCAGGCAGGCAGGCTGCTGGTGGTCCCCATGGATGGGAGCCACTGGTTCACTATGCAGATGGCTGTGGAGAAACTCAGCCACAGAGGGCATGAAGTGGTGGTAGTGGTGCCAGGCGAGTTGGCAACTGGGAAAATCCCTGAATTTGACAGTGAAGACATACTCAACTTCTCACACTCTGGAGGATCTGGACAGAGAGTTCAAGGCTTTTAGTGATTCTCGGTGGAGACCTTGGGAAGAAACCGTCTATGCTATGTTACACAACACAGCCAGCAAGTATCTGGAATTAATATTTTCACAGTGTAGGAGTCTGTTTAATGACAAGAAGTTAGTGGAGTACTTGAAGCAGAGTTCTTTTGATGCTGTGTTTCTGGATCCTTTCGATGTGTGCGGCTTAACTGTTGCCAAGTACTTGTCACTCCCGTCCGTGGTCTTCACTAGAGGAGTATTTTGTTATTTTCTTGATGATGGTGCTCAGTGCCCTAATCCTCTTTCTTATGTTCCCAGAGGTTTCTCAAAACACACAGGCACCATGACTTTCAAGGAGAGAGTCTGGAACTGTCTCATCTATATGATGGAGCATAGTATTTGCCCTTTTATTTACAAAACTGCTGTAGAAATTGCCTCTGAAGTTCTCCAGACTCCAGTGACTATGTATGACCTCTTCAGCCAACTGTCCATTTGGTTGTTACACACTGACTTTGTCTTGGAGTTCCCAAGACCTGTGATGCCCAACATGGTCTTGATTGGCAGGATCAACTGCCACCAGGGAAAGCCACTTTCCAAGGTGTGTTATATCTCATTTAGCCCGGCTTTGGACAACAAAGAGGAAATTCTTTACTGAGCTGTGATTTGATATTTGCATTAGCTGCATCTGGAATCTCTTTCTGGTTAATAGAAAACTCTATTCAGGTGCCCTGTTAATATGGATGTGTGTACCCAGAGTGTAATTGCTATAACCTCCAAGCTATGATCTGGATTTTAATTTGTGTGTATATCTCCTCATCTTTGCCCAATGTGTATGTAAGTTTGTGTATGCTATGGAAATTAAAAATAACGTACCTTGACAGGGGAGGGAGTGACCTGAGGGAGAGCGTGTAGAAAAGAGACAGAAGTAAAATATATGTAACATGAAGCAGAAAGGGGTGCTAGTTAGTGGGAAGTAAGGGATGAGCAAATGGGTGTATAGGGTATAGTAGGATAGTTGAGGAATGGGATATACAAGGGCAAAGTTCAATGACACAAATGCATGAAAATTGCACAATGCCATCCATTACTTTGTGTGCTAATTTTAAAATGGCACAAATACTTCCAACATACATTTAAATATTGTTTTTAGAATCACTGAAATATATATCATGTCATGAAACCTTGTTTTCCTAGTTCCAGTCTACCCTCCATAGGGAAGCACCATTAGTTGTATTTATAAATTTTTCCAACTTTCAGAAATTATGCATATACTAAATTGGTACATTCATTCCATTACATAAAATAATAATAATAACAACACAAACAATCTCATTTACTATACATTTGCATTTGACAATGATCACAGGCATGGTTGTAAGCCAATAAGTATACCGCTTCACTAATCTCATTAAAATCTTTACATTGGGGTTACCCCTTCCATACTGTTTTGTGTGAACAAGACTGTACTAAACATTCTGATTTTTCCTTTACTTGTGTGTGTGCAATGCACATGTGTCCACACTCTTTGCATTATATGAGTAACAGGTATAAAGTAGAGTTCGTGGGTCAAATGGTT